GCGTTTTTCCTACCAAAAAGGTATAATAAATTAAAACTCGTATTTAATTTGAATCCATTGTTCTACAAATATAAAAAGTACCGTTAGTAAGACAGCTATAACTAAAAATTGTCATTTAGCCGTACTGCCAGTGAATGGCCAATTCTACGTACTTACTACTTACTGATATGCTTTATCGGATGTTTTTTTCACTGTATGAGAACTATCGATAACGATAATTGTGGTTTGACATCTGAGAATGTCACCTGTGTAATAATAATAATCATAATAATCAATTTATTATGAATGTCATGGCGTCGAGCCATACTGACAGAATATTTGCTTCCAAAAATTAATAGTTCCAATAAGATGGCGTTTTTAGTGCCAATAAGACGGCGCAACTTGCCATACAGCGCGCTTAACAATCGATTTATTACAAAATAATTTGGTAGGTGGTAACAACTTTTTTCCAGAAGTGGTCCTATTAACTGGCCCATCTCGTTGGTACGGTTTAATGTCTCTCAATCAGTTTGTATGCCGTTATGTAAAGTCTTTGGTTTATGTCGACAAACCAACAACTCTTGCCACCATTGACACCCAAGAGTCACATTTATTGCAAAAAATAGTCAAAAATTGCATTAATCGAAAAGACTAAGCCACGGTACATGCCATGAAATTATCTAGCAGGTTATAAAAAAAAAATTTTTTATTATTTCTGTCTTGTGTACAAGGTTTTTTCTTGTATTATCATTTTGAGATATCAAGCAGCTTTAAAAACACTCAATGTTGTCGAATGTTTTGTTCTAATATTGCCCATAAATTTTCAATGACATTCATGTGTGGACTCTACACCGGCGGTGTCGTCAGATGTGGTCAGTTCCAAATCAACCAAGACTGTACGATGTTGGTCTTATGTGTTGGGTCGTCGTTTTGGCAGAAGCGAAATGTTTTAGGAATTTCAAGTATCATGGCACTCTGGAGTAAATTTTTTTTTAAAACGTGGAAGTACATTGTTTTGTTCATGTTACCATCAATAAACTCCAGATTCCAATAGCCGGCGGCTGAAATACAGGCCCAAACCATAATACTTCCACCGTGCTTTACTGTAGCCTATAAATTTTCTTTATTGAGTTCAGTATTAACTTTCCGCTACACGTAAGCCATGCCATCCAAGTTAGAAATATTGAATTTAGACTCGTCTGAGAATATGACGCTGTTCCAGAAGAACTATTAACGCAATATCATCCGTATATGTAATAGTTTACCAAACCGCTCTTTTTTGTTTTTGTAGCAGTTCATCCACCACTACATTCCAGAGGAGGGAAGATAGTACACCACTTGGGGAGTATCTGTATTTATTCGTCTGTGTGTTGTTGATGAACCCATATTTGCTTCAATAATATTGCCAGTTAGTAACTGATCTACGAAAAAAACTGAACTAAATTCCTTTAAATTGAAAGATTTTCTAATGGTAAGAGTGAAGCGCTGTCCCCGTAGATTTTGCTTTGATGTAGGCGTGTTGTGAGGGGGACTAAAGATTGGAATTAATAACACGCCTTATTTGGAAGTCTATGATTCTTTCTAGCAATTAAAAAAAACTATTTTCCTACAGTCTAATCTTTACTGAATGGAAATGTTTGACTTTTCTTGTATAGTTGCAATTTTTCACTTGAGAACATTTATATATTCTTGAAGGAAACATTTTCAGACTATTCTTTTATAGATATGGTATCTTAAATGATATATGTGGATTTCTCAAAGCGTTAACACTCTTTATAAGCATGTAGACATTATTCAATTAACTACAAATTTTCCTATTCTTTACTTAGGTTTACTCTTCGGTACAAATGGATCTACAGTTAAATTCAGATTATAAAGTATTCAGCTAATATCAGAAATCGATTTTTGATTAAACACCGTCTTATTTTAATTTTCTTCATCGTTATTATATATTAGGATAACATCCTTCGGCCGAGGCGACTATCACGAAAATTTTCATAAGAACATTTTTAAAATATTTTTATAATACTTGATCTCTTCCTACTTTGAATCCGTAACAGTTTTAGAAGGCTAGAAGTTTTAGAAGAAGGCCTTTACTTAGCGACAAAGAAGTTACTTAGCTGCTCTTCTCTCTGGTTTGTAAACTGAAACATTTTTTTATTAACTCACGGCATGTGATAGTTTGTTGCCTGTCTTTTTCAATGGCTTGAGGCTCTCTTTCTTAATGAGAAGAACAAATGACTTACTATTTTTTTAAGATACTAATCCTTGCTTTCAGTCTATATAAAAGGACTGATTGCAATTATTTTAAGCCAAAAGTTCTTTCAAGTGTCCTGTGTTATGGCAATCTCATTTTTAAGTGTATTTTACGAATCCTAATCACTACATATTGACCCTATAACTAGTATTACGCAATCGACTACAAATCGTTACAATCCTTATTCGACTTTGCTTCACTTGTCAGAACAGGTATCTAGCCGTTAATAGTTTAATCTATCAATGCTGTCTACATATAATACCGAGCTACTTTCTTGTAATTTCTTCAATTTTTTGGACGAGCTAGGAGCAACACTATTCCGAATATCACATGTGTTTTAGGTCGTTTGAAAATTTATTCAAACCCAATACTTTCAGCTCTGTCTACTGAATGAATGATATAAGCTGTCATTGATAACAATATTCTGGCTAAAAGCTAGCAACTTTTATACTGAAAATGTTGATTGGAATGTTTATTTAAAATTGGTTTTCAACCCTTTTTATCTACCTGTAACCAAATCAGATATTCAAGCATAGGTTTTTTAAAACATCTTTATTATAAGACAACTTTATAAAAATCATCAGT